GCAAAAATATGGTTTCCAAAATGTACAAATATATGTACGGTAAGCTGCAAAACAACCCTCATCCTAACTTTTGGCTGAGTTATGGTTGTTAAGCCACATTCCTACACTTGGATCCAGACAAACAGCTTGCTCTACTCTATCAGCATTTACACCATCGAGGCGCTTTGCAGATGTGGATCATCCACTTACAGTTACCTCAGGTTGGGAATGTCATAAAAGTATACACTAATCTTTGGAAAGAAGAACATTTTGCATCGTACAGGTGCAGCACTTAACAGGGTCGTCATTTTTTGTTTATACTTGAGGAAATAGCACTACAGTGTGGGGATAACATTGTGACTTGGTTTGGAAATAGAATAAAATACCTGAATTATTATATCAGCTGTTGCATTATTACTTAGTATTTTGAAGGCATCCATGAAAAGGAGACAAAACAGGGAAGCTGTGACTTCTGTGAGGCACCTCTGTCAAGGATAGGACCTGGCAGAGGACTCTGAAGGGGTGGTTGTGCCCTGCCAATGCCTAAGGTGCAGACTGCATAAGATGGGAGCCTGGAGTGCAAGTACTAGATTCAAAACATGAGACTGGATAGATCAGCTTTCCCCTCCCTCCAGCAGGCCCCTGCTCAGCCCCTGATGATGATACACATGTTCTGTTTGTGCCAGTCCCGCTCAAAGGATAGCACCACTCTAGGGAACACCTCACATTTAAATACCAGCCAGGGTAGAGGTTTCTCAGCACCAGGAAGGCCCCAAGTCTGTCACTACAACAATATGACTAACACAAACAAGATCACTCAGTGCCAAGGCTCCCCTTTGACTTTCCTGATTTACTGCAGTTCATCTTTAGGCAAAACTAAGCACTACATTTTGTCTCTCTTGCAGACATTCTGACTAGTCAGCTTCTCTCCCAGTGCTATAATCAGTCAAGTGCACTCTAATCATCATTGTGAACATTTCTAGCACTCCTATTTCTCAATCTAGTTATATCTAAATATAGTTCAACCTCAGCCAGCTAGGCCATGCTTAGATTTCTGGTTATCCAAAACAAAGATTTATTCAGGAGCCATGTTTATTAATGAAAATATGTTTCTCCATCGCTCATGATGTTTAGAGAATGATGTTGGCTTTATTATCTCTTACAGACTGGTTATTCTACAGTGAGATATGTTCCCAATAAGCAGTTGGCATTACTGCAAACAACTGTCATAAATGAAATTACACATTGGGAAACATAAAAATATCACGGTGAGTGAAACTGCGTTGTTAATGTTTGACTTTCCATCAGTTTGATCGAGAAAATGCCCTAGAGAATATAAGGAGTTACTGGAAGTCATTCAGTTGCATTACATGCCGTTTTAGCAGAAGACAGCAATAGCAGGCTCAGTGAGAAAGCCTCGGTGGAGAAATGGTGACCTCTACAGGTTCTTCACTCCGGCGGCCACACCACCTCCCGGTCCACCTAACAGCCTGCAAGGTGTAGTTTGGGTTGCTTTCATCTTGGAGAAATTAAACTAGAGAAAATTAAATGTATATTCGATGATGACCTAGCAACATAAAATAAGCTAGAAAACACGGGCACGTGTTAATTTAGGACATAAATGTCCATCTTTGAGAAGTCAGAAAACAGTACTTCAAAGAACAAAAACTTCAAAGCACTCTGTAACTTCAAAGCACTGCACCAATATTAATAAACACTTAGGACATGTCTGTGAGGTAGAAAATATTTCCTTTTTTAATGCTTGTGTAAACAGGGCACAGGGATTAAGTGATTTGCCCAAGGACACAAGTTAGTAGCATAACTGAGATTGCATATCAGAAATAGCTGGCTCAAGCCTCCCAGCTATAGCTGCATTAAAACAGTTCCCTATAAGGGCACTTACTTGGCAGAGGCCAAAACAGAGATATTTCCCATCAACAGCATCACCTGCCCTTTCAGAGTCCTGCTCTAAACTCTACCATGTTGTTTCCAGCTGCAGTAGTACCAATCAGAACTTTTTACTACATTCTTCTCAAGTAAAACATAAAATCTCTTCAATGCACATCACCTGATCTGATCTATAGCCCTGTGATATACACCCTTAATGCAGAGCACAAGGATCCTTAAGTGCTATCTGCCAAAGAAGACAGAAGCAAACACCTTAATTTTCTTTGCAAAATAACCTAACAGGGAACAGTCCTTGGGCACGTGCAGCCAGAAGAAATAGAAGTGCTTAGCAAGGAAAAGAAAAATCACCTTATGCCCCTCAGACAACAAATATATGTAAAGGATAATGATAAATGTAAAAGATTTGCTTTTTCCTCTCTCCAACTTACTTCTTAGATCTTTAGTAATATTAAATTTTGCCACTCTTGTTTTTAATGAAGAGCTTTCTGACAACTCCACAAGTCTGTGGTCTCATGCACTTAATTAAAGGAGAAGAGATGTGGAACCTTAATATTTCTCCCTTCTCTAAAACATTTATGTCAAATAAATAGAGTTAATATGTTAAAAAAAGATATAAACAAAAAACATGCTTCAAAGAGCCAATTCTCAGTCTTCTCTTTGTGAAGTCATTGTTGGAACATAGGCTCAATTCTAAAAGTAGCTAAATACTAATTAAAAAATAAGAGCTTTTCAAGCACAACTTCTAAAACTGAAACTATACCACAGGCTTCCAAAATTTCCTTGTCAAATGTGATTCTTGTTTTAAGACAAATTTTCCTCGTTAGTCACATGCTTATCATGAAGAACTTGTTTAAAAAAATGCATTATTCTATTTTAAACACTGATTTGCATCTAGTAATAACTGATGTGCTGCATATTATTTTCCCCAGATGAAGTCCCTCAGTGACTCTGAGAGATGCTGCCTGGATATACTGATCAAATGTTCCTCCTCAAGGCCAGTTAGGAGTACTGCACCCTTCTTTTGTACTGTTTGCCAGTAAAACTTCTGTATCCAGAACACCAGAAAACTACTGCCGTGCTGTTAGACTTAAAAAGAGTATCACAATCTCTGGTTTAGAAGTTTTCAGGAGTTCCAAACATCCTGGTGCTGTCCGTATCAATGATACAGCTCAGAACTAACATAATATTTCCCATTGCCAGAACTTAAAACTTTGCTGTGAAGGTAATTATAGAATTATAGAGTGGTTTGGGTTGGAAAGGACCTTAAGATCATCCAGTTCCAACCCCCTGCCATGGACAGGTATGTCTCACACTACACCTTGTTGTTCAAGGCTCTGTCCAGTCGGACCTTGAACACTGCCAGGGATGGAGCATTTACCACTCCTTTGGGCAACCTGTGCCTCACCACCCTCACAGTAAAGAACTTCTTCCTTCAATCTAACCTGAACTTCCCCTGCTGAAGATTAAACCCATTACCCCTTGTCTTTTCACTAGAGTCTGATGAAGATCAAGTATTGTTATCTCTATTTTGCATGGGAACAATAACGATGTAAAGATCCCATTTCAGCAGCCTTTGAGTGAGGCCTATTAATTTATCCAAGACATGGATAGATCTTCAGTACTTTGTTAAGTCAAATCTTCAGACTGAATAACTTGCGGATCACAGACTGAGTCATTCACAGATTTGGGAACACAATTTAGGCCTCCTGACTCCCTACAATAAAGCCAGGTTTTCCATGTTAGGCGTTACTAATCATTACCTAAATGACAAAGGTTTTGCTGTTCTTGGTGTAGTGCCCTTCTTTGCATTTCAGAGGAATTACTGGGCTTTTACACTGGCTGTCAAACTTGCTGACTTGGTAACTGGCTGCTTTTCAAAATATATATTAAAAATCTCACCTTTCATGGCTATTTCTTCAATAAATCTCTCTCTATATATATAAAATAAGCTTTGTGATCTTACTTATAAAACTAAAGTCAACAGAAAACAAATTAAAACTCTTATCAGTCACATTGTACATACTATTAAAAAAAATCCCATCAAAGGCAACAGGACCCAGCAGAAAGGGTGCTGAGCTACGAAACACATGGCAACATTTCCCATTTGCTTAAATAAGGTCAAGCTTTCAGCTTCTCAGCTCATTTTACTTCTAGCTCTTACAGAACTCTGTAATCTCCATTTCTCTCTCAGTTGCTTTCAAAATGTGTAGGTGATTATTATTTCCTTCTCTCCATAAGGAATTTTAACACCAATAAGTTAAATTAATTACAGCCAGATTCAAAGGCCCTACACCCATACTGGAGACTATACATATTCACAGTCTTGAAGCTCTATTTAATTATACTTTAAATGTTGCATACTGAATCACACGCCTTGATCCACCTCATGGAGAAGAATTAAGTTCCAGACAGACTCCAGGTTACAGCAGGAATGACAGTCTAAATAGCCTTTAAGTTAAATATACCTCATAGACTGAAGACGTAACTCCTATTAGAAAGGCTGGATCCCTTTTTATAACTAGCTGATTATACAGTTTATTTTTATCTAGGTCTTCATCTTTTTATTTCATTACATTATAGCTGGCAATGTGTACTCTTTCATTGAAGATCATACAAGGTATGTAATCACGGCAACAGTAACTATGCTGTGCATTTTCTTTTGTCATGTTTAATAGACTGGTCATTTAGGCACCTACAAAACACAGCTTGGCCAGAGGAGCCAGGAACTCGATAAACAAATATCTGCTATTCAAATACCAGAGTTACAAAACCATCTTTTTTTCCTCCCTAATTATTTCATTAAAAAATCTGGAAGAAATCTTCCACGTGGAATATCTTTGCGTATCACCGATTTTTGTTTTGTTATTAAACTTCACTTGTTGCTAAGGAAGACCAGAGAAGATCAAAGGACTTCTAACAACTAGCAAAGCAAAGGTGAGGGAGTTTTGATTTCTTTCTCATTCTTTAAAGATTTATCACTGAAGTACAACGGTTGTTGGTTCATAGTTGTATGAAAAGAATGTGTGAAGTGATGTGAGCCTGCTTTGCTATTTCCTATCTGACTTCAAATATCAAACAATAGCTTAATTCACTTTTTGTTTAGCAATGTGATCATGCATTCAACCAGCCTATTCACAAATCCATATGCAATTGAAGTCCTAAAGACTAAAAAAGAAGAGCTCGTAGAAGGCATAACCCACCCAGACCATCTTCTGAACTGGCTGATAGACAATGGTGTTTTTACCCCAGAGAAAAAGATGGTCATGAGTTTCTACAGGACACGAACAGAAAAGAACTCTCGAGTTTTAGACCTACTGATGTCTCATGGTGAACGAGCCTGTAGGCTCTTTTTTTATCCATGTTTAAAGCAAGTGGAGCCAAAACTTTACAGCAAGATAAGAAAATATGTCAGTGAAGTAAATGAAAGCATTGGAGATGCTAGAAGACAATTAGTGGGATATTTACTTGAAAAAGACAAGGTTTGGTTTGAAAGTAGCAATGAATGGCACCAGGGAAAAAAGGACAGTCCTAGAAGAAAAAGGAAAGAATGGACTATTAGGAAGAAAGGAAAACAACTTCAACTGTCAAGGACAGCAAAACCTAGAAAAGATCACACTGATGTTGGCATCTTTGATGCAGTCACTAAGGGCAATCTTTCTGAGTTAGAAAAGACATTGAAAGACAATGACATTAATGCGCTAAACTCCTCAAGTGAAACACTTTTGCATGTTGCAGCTGCTAATGGACATGCAACTGTAATGGAATATTTGATCAGCAAAGGTGCAAAGGTAGATGTGAAAGACAATAATGGAAGAACACCACTGCACAGGGCTGCTGAGAAAGGCCATGCTGATGCAGTGAAAGCGCTGCTCCAATCTGGTGCTTATCTGTACAGTTTGGATATGAAAGGCAAGACACCACTCCATTTGGCTGCACAGAATAACCACAGTCACATAGTGAAGATACTCGTGGAAGAAGAGGCAAGAAGCTACAGGAACCAGCACAACTTTTTGCACATGGCAGCTCTTAAAGATGAAAGCAGTCTGGCAAAAATGCTTTTGAAGGCTGGTGCCTCCGTTGATGGAAAAGACGAAAAGGGACAGCCTCCTCTTAGTCATGCTGTGTCTCACGGGTCTGAAAACACTGCAAAAGTACTGCTAGAAGCAGGAGCCAGTGTTGATTCCAACATGGCTGAAAGAGCCTTCAACAGCAACCACCCATCCATCTTCAAAATACTACTAGAATATTCCAAAGATTTTCCATCTGAAGTAATGGAATCAGCTCTTTTTAGAGCTGTGCAGAAAAATCTGCCTGGTATTATAGCTGCTTTAATCGACAGAGGTACAGATATCGATGCTCTCAATGACATGAGGTACACTCCTTTACTTTTGGCATGTGAAATGGGCAAAGCTGAAGCTGCAGAAGTTCTAATCACGAAGGGAGCAAACTTTGGAATGAGGACTCCTGCTTCAGACACAGCTTTGCACTTGGCAGTTCAAGCTGGGGCTGCTTCCACTGCACATCTGCTTCTGCACAAGGGGATGGAAACTAACCTGAGGAACCAAGCCCATGAAACCCCACTCCATGTTGCTGCCCTTCATAATAAAGGTGCATTAGTTGGACTTCTAGTTAATGCTGGGGCCCAAATTAATGCTGGCACTAAAGAGTTTGTTACTCCCCTGCATATTGCAAGTCAAAGAGGTAGCACTGATGCTGCCCAACAGCTCTTGCACCACAAAGCCCATGTTAATGTTAAGGATAAGCAGTTAAAATCCCCTTTACATTTTGCTGCTGAAAGGGGAGACAGAACAATGGTAGAGATGCTTCTGAATGCTAAAGCTGACCCCAATGCACAAGATAAAGAGAAGAAGACTCCCCTGCACACCGCAGCTGTGAGAGGACATCTCGGCATTGTGGAAGTTCTGTTAGCAGGAAAAGCAAGATTTGGAGTTAAGGACATGGATGGATGCACTCCAATGCACTATGCAGCCAACCAGGGAAACATAGAGATTGTAAAAATTCTTCTGGCATCAGGGAAAAATAAAAATATTGATGATAGAAACATTTGGAGAAAGACTGCACTGCATATTGCAGCAGAGCACGGGCACAGTGACCTGATCAATGTGTTGCTGAGCCACGGGGCAGCCATTAATGCCTCAGACAGCAGCAGGGACACGGCGCTGCACTGTGCATGCAAGGCTGGTCACTTGAATGCTGTGAATGCCCTCCTGAACTGGTCACAAGGAGAAAGAGCAAATTTACTGGCTGCTAACGGTCTTCAAAAGACCCCACTGCAAGTAGCAGAGTTTAATATAACAGAAAATCAGGCTCAAATTGTAACACTTTTGAAGAAGAAAATGTTAATAACAAAATGAAGATGTAAAGCTAAAACATCTAAACTTAAATGCATAATTCTCTTGTAATGTATTTTGGATAGTCCTGTCGCCCAGTATGATTGTAACTATGCTAGGGCAGGCAGAATTAAGTTAGCAATCAAAGGTGGCCATGGAGAAAAACGTATCTTATAGACACTGTTTAACTTCAAAGTATTGCTTAGCCTTTTGCTTCTCTCACAAATCTCCTACTTGGAATCTATTTAAAAAGCACCACTCTTAAACAGAATGTGTATGACCTCTTCCAGTAAAAATCAAGACTTGCAAAAACAAGATAGAAAATAACTGTTTATGTATCTGTCATGAACAGTTTGTATTACTTAAGTGCTGTTTGGTAAAATCACTTTTTAAAAAAGCCATGTCTATTATGAATAAGGGGATATCAGTATCTTCAAGGACACTGAGATAGAGACGTTGGAGTAGATGAACCTAGTTTTGTTTAACTTTGGCAGTCCTAACTGCAGAGTGTTGCCAAGAGAGATTGATCTGCCCTCCCTTCCATCCCAGCCCTGCTCTAGGTTGTATGTGTGATCTGATCCAACTTACTCCACAGCCGTACCTGAACACAGGGAGAAGCAGGATAGCAAAGAGAAGAGCAGCACTGGCTCTCCTGAGGGTAATGTGATATGAGCTTGGTCTAGGCTGATTATAGCACTGCTCTCTGCGTCAACAGGAGATCAGAAGGCATTTCTTGCAAAATGTACTAGTGTGGGGCTGCTCTACTCCAGATTTACTAGATACTTTCCCCACACTAATAAATCATAGAGTCATAGACTGGTTTGGGTTGGAAGGGACCTTAAAGCTCATCCAGTTCCAACCCCTGCCACAGGCAGGGACACCTCCCACTGGAGCAGCTTGCTCCAAGCCCCTGTGTCCAACCTGGCTTTGAACACTGCCAGGGATGGGGCAGCCACAGCTTCCCTGGGCACCCTGTGCCAGCGCCTCAGCACCCTCACAGGGAAAAAATTCTTCCTAATACCTAATTTAATCTTCCCTCTGGCAGGTTAAAGCCATTCCCTTTGTCCTGTAACTACAGGCCCTTGTCAAAAGCCCCTCTCCAGATTTCCTGCAGCCCCTATAAATCCTACCAAGAGCCTTGGTATAAACCAACCAGAGAAGTGTGTGTTCCGAAACTTTGCTAACACAATGACGCTGTCCTTAGGACACTGGTATGCGATACACTGACATTCAATATTGCAATGGACCCTCTTTAGACTCTTCTATATTATACTCTTCAACATGGCACTGACAGCTCTAGGGACTCTAACAATCATTTTTCCTTCTATCTTTCACGATACCATTTATCTAGATTTTGCATTTTTATGTACAGATAATTAAACCAATCATATTTGCTGTTTATTAACTTCACTTTCAAATCAATTCCAGCACAATGATGAAATTTTCAGAATAAAAAGGTTGCAGTGGAGTTTATTGGTTCAAAACACTTGTACTGCCATCTCTTAAAACAGAAACACTTTCTCCAGGCAGCAGAAGGTTCTCTGTGGTAATTCTCTATATAATGATAATCAAGCCTCTCGATTCTTCACACTTCTCACCAGTGTATGACCGGAAGCCAAATTGCCACAAAGAGACAAATACTTCTTGCGACACAAACACTGATTTAAGAATGTACGAGAGTAAAACTGTAATTTTTAGAGCCATATTACAACACTTTAACTTGACCCACACAACACCGCTGCTTAAAAGACATCACCGCACGCTTGGAAGCACACAGGCAGAGCCCAGCAACCACAGCACCTGCAGCAGGAGGTACCCAGCGGCACCAGTCAGCAGCGTCCCTCTTCAGCCATCACTCCACACTTCCACGGCCCGGTTCTCCCCGGGCCACTCACAAACCACCACTCCCCCAGCGCGCTTTCGACTACAGCCGAAGGAAGGCAAATCGCCAGAGGGCTTTCATCCACTTGCAGCTCCCACCCCACAGCGAGAGGGGCAGACGGGGGTGGGTGACACCGGGGCATGCGGCCTGGGCAGGCTCCAGCCGCCTCCCACACTGCGCTTCATGGTATCATAGAAATCAACTGGCTTGGAAAAGACCTTTAAGATCATCAAGTTCGTCCGTCAACCAGGCACTGCCAAGGCCACCACTAACCCGTGTCACCGAGGGCCTCGGTTACACGGTTTGTGAGCACTTCAAGGGACGGTGACTCCAACGCTGCCCTGCGCAGCCTGTTCCAGTGCCTGAGCACTCTCTTGGTGAAGGAATTGTTCCTAAATTCCAGTCTAAACCTGCCCTGGTGCAGCTTGAGGCCGTTTCCTCTTGTCCTCTCCCTTGTTCGTTGGGAGACCGATCCCCACCTCACCAGAACCTCCTGTCAGGTAGGTGTAGGGAGTGATAAGGTCCCCCCCGAGCCTTCTTTTCTCCGGACTAAACCCCCTCCAGGCTCCTCAGCCGCTCTCCATCACACTTGTGCTCCAGACCCTTCACCAGCGTCGCTGCCCATTTCTGTACCCGCTCCAACACCTCAATGTCTCTCTTGCAGTGAGGGGCCTAGAGCCGAACACAGGATTCAATGAGCGGCCTCACCACAGCGCCCAGTGCAGGGGAGCAATCACGGCTGGCACAGGCCAGACCCCCGCTCTCCCATCCCCACCTCACATTCACCCCTTCTCCCGCCGGCCGCAGCCCCTCGGGCTCGGGCCCGTCCCGCCTCAGCCGCCCCCGCGCGCCCCGCCTACCGCAGCGCCACGGCCCCGCCTCCGCCCCGGCGGCCCCTCAGGACGCGGCCTCACTGAGGTAACCCGCGCACGCGCGGAAGCCGTGCTCCCGCCAAATCTCGCGAGATCGCTGCCGGGGCCGGTGATGGCGGCGGCTGAGGAGCTGGAGGTGGATATCGAAGGGGACCCGGCGGCCGTGCCCGGGTCCGCGGGGCCGGGGTGAGTGAGAGAGAGCCGCGCTGAGGGCTGGTGGCTCTGCCGCTGCCGTCAGCGTGTCCCGTGCTCCTTCTGCCCACGGCGCGCAGGGCTTGCGTGGCCGCGGCGGCCGGGGTTTGTGTGAGGGGACGGCGAGGGGAAGGCTGCCGCTGGCTGAGGGGCTGCCCGGGCTGGGCCGCGCTCGCTCGGGGCCTCGGCCGCTTCTGGTGCTCCCCGCTGCCGGGCGCCGCTGGGGAGAGACCTTGGAGTCTCATTGAGGGCCCTTGGGGGCGGGGGGAAGCGGCAGTGTGGGGCATTATCGGGCAGGGCATCGAGAATGGGGGCTGTGGAGGCGTTAACGTGGGGTGAGCGCGGAGCTGCTGCCATGGGACCCAGCGGTACCCGGAACCAGGGAGCTGGGTGAGGCTGCTGGGAGAGACTCGGTTAAAACACGGAGAGAAGGGACTCTGTTGTGTAACTATTGGCGAGCTTGCAGATGGGTTCAGAAAACTGATTCAACAAATTCACATTTGAGGGGTCTGTAAACAAACGCTGAAGAGAAAGGGCAGCAGCTGCAACACTGCAAACCCGGCATTGCAGTTGCTGGCAGAGTATAAGAGGGTTGTACCAGAGGCCTAGAGGAGTACCTGCCACTGCTGGAGACAATACTGAGGAGAGAGGCTATGGATCTGACCCATTTCACAGAATCCCAGACTGGTTTGGGCTGGAAGGGACCTTAAAGCTCCTCCAGTTCCAACCCCTGCCATGGGCAGGGACACCTTCCACTAGAGCAGCTTGCTCCAAGACCCTATGTCCAACCTGGCCTTGAACGCTGCCAGGGATGGGGCAGCCACAGCTTCTCTGGACACCCTGTGCCAGCGCCTCAGCACCCTCACAGGGAGGAGTTTCTGCCTAAAAGCTCATCTCAGCCCACCCTCTGTCAGTTTAAAGCTATTCCCCTTTGTCCTTGTCTACATGCCCTTGTAAAAAGTCCCTTTCCAGATGTCTTGTCAGCCCCTTTTAATACTCTTTCACAGAAAAGGTCAAGTATAATCAGGATGAATTCTCTAAGAGCAGCAACAACCCAACGTGATAGGATTCTATTAAACCTTGTATAAATATGAGCTTTCTTTGGCACGAAAACAGATTTGTGTTTACAAGAGGGGTTTTAGCTTATTGGGGGAAAGATGTAGGGATGTTAAGTAGAGATAATAGAACTCGATAACTCCTGTGATATTAAAAATACAGTTCATTTGTCTGTGGCATTCTGACTTCTTTTGTTGGTGTAAATTTTACATGGGCCTTCCTGCTGTCACTCATCCTGGATGAGAATTTTTACTCTTTGGAGTTTCACTTGTATCCTGTACAGTCTGCAGTGAAAAGGCTGAGGAGCTGCTGCTGAGATTACTGAAAAATAGGACTTACCGAGGGGCGTTTATGTTGCATCTAATGTAATGTTACGAGAAAGTAACATTATATAATAGCCTGCAGTATGTGAATTTAGCTTTAGTAGCTAATTCTGTCTTCTGTTGAAGTCTGTCATTTGCTGCACTGTTGCTTTAACTCTGACAGCATTCATTTTGTTTGAATCTGCTTGTGTTGTTCTGAACACTGGGATCTTTTCCAGAGATCATGGAAACACGGCTTCAAACTTGCTGCAGGATCACTACCTTGATTCATCCTGGAGAACTGACAACAGTCTTGTAAGTTTTTCTTATATAGATGCTACTTTAGCAAGGTTATCAGAACTTCTGTTTTCTCCATTCTCATGTCTGTGCTTGTTTTTAAGCAGTGCTGTTTGCTGACTTTTTGAAACATTTATATATTGCTTCTTGATCCTGAAGTCACAGCATGACAGAACTTGGATATTAAATCATGCTTGTATTGTTTGCAGCCATGGACGCTGGACAGCAGCATTAGTGAAGAAAACAGGGCTGTCATTGAGAAAATGCTGCTGGAAGAGGAGTATCCTTTTGCTGATTTGCTGCATGGTTTCCTGTGGAACAATAAAAAACTTCCTGTTTCCAAAGGAACTGGATTTCCAAAGCAATCTTTTTCTTGTTATGGTGACTGAAGCACTGTCATCCTGTAGGTAGATTGCAGAAATG